GCGACAACGAGGTAGTCGCGGCCGCACGATCGCTCCCTATCGGCCCTAATATACAATGACACGCCTAGTAGATATACTAGCTACGTTATTGGCGAATTGATTTGGAGGTTAATCACAAGTTCGGGACATAATATGTGGGGGGAAGGCTACCAACGCGAACGCTGGCGCGCGCAAGTTAGTTATAGCCATAAGCTGTTCTGGCAGATGGTCACGTTGACTGCTGTTATCAAATCCAGCGTCATTACGCCTAATATTTCACCTGCTTGAAATTGGCTAGTTTCTCTATATAAATCTGAAGCAAATCCGATAATTGCGGCAGGATTAGTGGCAGTATTATCACATATCAATGAATATCGTATATTTTGGTGAACTCGGACAGCAGCCGCGATTAGCATAGCGAAATCCAGTATGAATTGTAAATGCCACCCAAAAGGCGTCTATTCAAGCAGCTGGTTACAAACCTAGTAGGCGGACCGGGCTGTCGACCACACCGGCCCATGGAGCGACACACACTAGGCACGCTGGGCATAGTAGACTGGAGTGTAGTTTGGTGACGGCCGGATGCGTGCCTTCCGATTTATCCTCCACGTGTTTACGTGGCAGACTATAATTTGAACGAGAGGTATACCAACCAATTCCAAAGAATTCTCCCCCGTCCCATGTATACATATATATGTATATGTATATGTATATGTATATGTATATGTATATGTATATGTATATGTATATGTATATGTATATGTATATATATATATACATATATATCAGGAGTTAATAAAGACAAATATGTGTAGACATAAGACATAAAGACATATATATGTATATGTGTGTGTGTATATATATATATATATATGTCACATAAACTCCGGTTTCCCGCGTTTGCAGTCTAGCACCACGTGAGTCATGCAATACAGACAGCAGCATTATACAACAGTGAATATTTTCCCCCATCACGTCATCGCTTCGCAAACCAGCCGGCTAAAAGAGAAAAACACAAATAGTGCCATATGCCGCCTCCTGCGCGCAATAATGGGACGCTCACCGGCAGTACTATCAGTGCTGTGTTTGGTGAAACAACAGTGGCACTGTCGGGTGCAACAACAGTGGACAGCTGGGGGGAGGGGGACAAAAATTGTCGTGCGTATATGCAAACGACTACCGGTAATAAACGATAGCTATAAATAAGAATGAAGTTAAACTGCAGCGTTTGGGTAAACGCCTATAGTCCTGTATGAGAGAGGAGATATACGTCACATAGACAGATGGCTAGTGTGAATTTGCTTGTGCGTATACCACGTTCAGATGAGTGCCCACGCCCGAGAGGTCTCATGTCGGTGACCCTGCGCCTAAGTACCGACATGGGAGCCCTTCAGCACCCTCCGCACAATGACCAATCCACGATAGGGGTGGACAGTCGCGAAAATAATTATATGTCAACACAATTACGAGCAATCACAATAGGTTATTACGTGAAATCAATAGCACAATTTCCCAAAAATATCAATTACCAAGGCAACACATAACACGCACGAGGAGCACGTATGATATAATAGCTACGTGTAGCTTGAATTGATCGTCTGCTTCTCTCAGAGTTCGCCACTCACTATAGCCAACAAGCGGCGGGTTCGTCGGCAGGGGAGTTTTATCATCGAAACAAGACAATAAAACATTAGGTGGCAGCTTGTAACTGCATCCCAGCAGTGATGAGCTAACGCAATTCAGTCATCCCGCAGAGATATTAAATCCATAGGCTGGTACTAGGTGAGTGTTCTATTCGCATGCCAAGCGAAGTAATTCACATACGCGTGCACGAGAAGGATGGATAGACGAATAGACAGATGGACCAATAGATGAATAGAAGGGTTGATGGATAGATGGATAGATATATTTATTTATCTATATATATATACAGATAGACAGAGACATATAGATAGATAAATGAATGAATGAATAGATTAAGCGATAGATAAATAGATAGATAGATAGAAAGACACACAGATGGGTAGGTAGATATATAGAATGGTAGATATTAGATAGAGGGAGGAACGTGCGGTAGGACGGACGCAAGGAGTGAGAACGAGCGAGCACAAGAGATTGGGTAGGCACACACACGTGAAAGAGTAAGGGGGAAGAAATAGCTATAGGCAAACAGACAGTAAGGTACGATGGTAATACAAACAAGGGAAAAGGTTAGTTTCATAATTAAAAAAATTCAGCACTCAGTATAAAAAACAACTCCCCCTTTTCTCGCATGAGCACATGTTTGCGAATGTCTTGAGTTTTTATAGGAGTGCAAGCAGGGGCGAATAATGAAAACAGCAAGTAACACGGCCGCTTCTTACTTCTAGACGTAATCTCCCAACCAAGAGCTGCAGGTACACTGCAGCGTATCTATTGTCTCACGCGCTGGAGCTTCCTTAGCGGCTGCCACCCCATGACCCTCAAAGATCATGCAAAACATAGCTGCGATAGCATAGCATTTCTATGACGCACAGTGTGTAAACTAATAAAAATGCACACACGCGAAGTTACATCACAACCCTACGGAATCGAGCACTGCATCGATGTTATGCCACATGTGCATAAGTTCTTGATATCATCATCAGCTGTGTAAACGCTATTTCACTGGTTCCCTTCGCTGCTGAATAATTCACGGAGCGACTATGGTTAGATGTTCACTGCGTGTACTTAGTCAGCGGAAGACATAATTAGGCTTAAAGCATGTTTGGAGATAAAGTAGCCAAGTTTGAGGGAAGTAGCAGCCAATATTTGTAATGAAACTGACACTAGTGCACGAATAAATCCTTGGAGAGGGCAACTTCCCTGTAGGCGTCTAACATTCTAGTGAAGTGGTCGGGGCATAAGGTCTTCATAAAGCATGGCGATGCAACCAGGTGTGAGATTCACCCGCGTTTGAACATCGACACACGCGAAAAAAAACGTTGGTCCTGTTCTAAAAACCCCTTCACGAAGCAAACCTTTTTGGTTACGGCTTCATATCCGCTATTTAGCGGACAACTCGGGAGTTAGCGGAGGAGATAGCGGAGAAAATAGCGAACGGACGTTCGTGAAACGCGCCCCCGATCCGGTATATTGCTAAACGGATTTGATACAGCTGCGCGTTTGATCTAACTGCGTATATCCAACAGCAATTACGTAACGTTACGCGGTTAGGCTGTTCTTCGAATATGCGAGTAATTAGGCATGGCTGTCTTCAGCATGCACCGTGCATATAGTTTCGATGGAAATATCGATATCAGCTTTCAGAAGCCCCGCGAGTTGTCACGTATATACGTGACAGCCATCAACGTCGAAGTTGTTACGCTGATGGAGAGAAGTCCAAGCACCACTGGCATTGTTATATACGGGTAGACTTTCAACCGAACGTGTGCTACACACGTGCCAATTCCACCAGCAGCGTGAAATTGATTAATCCGTCTAATTTGCGGCAATTAATAATTGCGAGCGTGGCTCATGAAATGCAATCACACGGTGTGGTTCGTCGTGACAGCAGATTCAGCGTAAAGGATAGGATATTCCTAGAAAACCAGCGTTCGCGCCACTAGAGAGCCACGCAATACTAAGCTTGTGCACCTATAATTTGTTCGAGGACGAATGAAAATATCTGGCACGCCAACCACCCCAAGAATGATTAAGCAAGCACACGCTACAATAGTCGAGACGGTTCTTTGCATAGCTGTGCGCCAACACTTGTACAAAGCACGACAGACAGGCGTGTGCGTGTTGATAACCATTAAACATTTCCAGGTGCAAATGTTTCATCCTCAGTTGCTGCAGGCAGTGATATGAATCAAATATCCACGGCGGCGAGAAATCTTCTCGAATTACGCTGCTTAGAAATTGGACAGCACCACGCACTGCTAATGTACGCTGGCTAAACTGAGTTAGGTGGGCCGGTAACAAGATTCCCACCATTGCACCGACACTGACCAGCTGATCCTGGCTGCTGATTAAACGCGACGACGACAGTGCATATACTATATAGAGATGTCTGTGCATGAATGCTACCACGTCTACATACTCACCTAATTCAATAAAACCCACGCAATTACCTGCTACTCCCCCTTCTAAAACCTCAGCCTCAGCTCAGCTCGGCTAATGAAACTACCTAGCTAGTTCAGAAAGAGAAATGCTTCTTAGAGGTATCTTCATAAATTATTGGCACGTTGTCTATGAGAAACGTGCCGACAGACCGATAATAATTCCCGTTGATAACCACTCTTGGCCAACATCCAATTAGTACACGCTTTCAACAGTTTTAACGGCGAGGGGAATCGGGTGTGTGCAACTATAAGAGCATAAACTTATACAAATATGCGCGTAAGTGTCGATATGTCGACTGTATGTAATGGAGGAGTAGGTACGGAAATGCGCGTAGTCTGTCAGCAAGTCGACTGATTAGTTGTAAGAATCAAGCATGGCTTCAGCAGCTAGCATGGCTTCAGCAGCTAGCATGGCCTCAGCGGCTAGCATGGCTTCAGCAGCTAGCATGGCTTCAGCAGCAAGCATGGCCTCAGCGGCTAGCATGGCTTCAGCAGCTACGCATCACGTCCCGCGGCATGCCGGAGATCGCAGAAGAGGCGAGGGAACCATGTTTGAATATATCCACTCTATTCTCATAGCTATATATTCGAGTAAGATGACAAGATAATTCCCAACATCCCTTTGGGATACTGCTCGATTATCTAGTCCCGATATATATATTATATGTATAAAGATCAAGAGCTAATAATACCTTGTATTAAGCTAATAGCTAATAGGTATTATTAGCTCTTGATATATATATATATATATATATATATATATATATATTTCTCGGTCTGTCAGCAGGTTTCTAATAGACAACGTGCCAAGAATATATGAGGATACCTCTAAGAAGCATTTCTTCTTCGGAACTGGCTAGGTATAGTTTCATATATATGTATATTCCACGATGGACATTGCCGGGTATACATCGTAAACACGAATACGACACTTACCTCGGCTGAGCCAGGCTCGTCGTTGAAACGGGTAGATTTTTTGTCAGGGTCGCCATGTTACGGGAGGCGACGATGCCGGCGAGATGTCTCGCATCTTTAGTAGCTTCGGCGGGCTGCTCGAGCGACTGCACCATCGCCACCGCCTCTCCCTTGAGGAACTCGACAGGAGTGCTGCACACCGTACAGCAGCCGTCGACGAGGGCGTGCAGGTGTGCCTCGGGAACCTGCAGCGTGTCCTGCACCTGACTGGTCACTGCCCCGGAGTCCTGCAAGCAAGCAGAGGTCGCACGTATAAACAGCAACTCTTGCCACACGGGAGTGTGTTTGCTATCCCGGGCATCCTGGTTGTATACACAACGATTGGTGCATGTAAATATACGACGATGCCGTTAGTACGGTCACGTGTCCACATCATGTCGTGAAAATATACGATATATATTTATACGATTTACGATATATACAATATACGATTTATTGATGCATGACGTCGAGGGATTTAAGTTGTTAAGAAGTTGTAAAATATTTTAATAAGTATATTCAAGCTATATGTTTATTAGTGAAGTAACCTTACTAGTGAGTTATTTTAAGTTATTCGGTTGCGAATTTGTGGTTGAGATTGGGGTTGTTTTAGAAGGCGATTTCGAGTTATTATCAACTGTAAACATCTTATTTATAGCTTCGGCGACACAACAACATGCCAACTCATTGTGTGAGAGCTCCATCAACAAGCTTAACAAACTTTCGGCCTGGGCCTTTTCTCGAAACGCGAGATGACAGCTTTCTAAACAGCGTTGAGCTTTCTCTGTAGCTGATCTGCACAAAAATGTCATGTTAAAAAACACTCGTCTGAGGGTAACATAAACACGAGGCCTGATAGAGAAACTTAAACCACAGCCTGTTGATCAGGCCTTCTCTCTTGTCCCATGTGGGGAGCCGGAGCGCGAACGGTTCACCGGCTGCATTCCTGCGATACTATAGCAAGCAAAATACGGCATCACTAATAAATCCATTCACAGTAGAAACCTAACGTCACATCGACCACCTACGACACCGATGCAACTAATCATATTGCAAAACCCGGACATGAGGGATCATGGAAAAAAAACAGTGATCGCATCTTCGGTTTCTCACACCGGGCGACGCAACTATGTATTCCACGATCTGAAATGATCTATGGTTGATTCTTTGGTGATCGCCACCGAAAAGCCCCCGCCCCGATGACAGATTTGGGACCGACCCGAGGGGCTAGAAAAAATGTATATTGCCTAAGCAGACACAGCGATTTTGTGTGACAAGAATCTCAAGGGCAAGGCAAGATATAAAGGAGCTTCCTTTGATGTTAGAATGCGTAGTCAAGATCAAACAAGCGTTTTGCAGTAAGCACGGCAGTTAAGTGTATATACGCAGCCGCAGCGCTACTATGCGCATGGGACTGTTACATCGAGGGCATCATCAATGGGGACACACGCGCAAAAAACACAAGCTGCTGCATATTTGGGCATAATGACAAGACCTACCACGACCAGCGGGCTCTGAAAACAAGCTTCACAGCTTGGTATTAATGTCTTAGTCTATATGTGAAAAAACGTGACCGCGTCTTTAGCCATAATATGTCCTTATAGTATCAGTACAGGAGGTGTAATGAGGCACGATTAGGGCTAAAAAATAAACACGAGGAATAAAAGCGTGGTTGCTCACATATGGTCAGGCGAAACTACTTTTTTTGCACCAATGTTCTCGGCACCACATGCTACAGACCTTTATAACAATATCACGCGATGACGACAGACCCGATACGCCCACACATATCCAGTACATTCGTTCGATAAAAACGCTCCCAGCAATTGGCTTCACGTGAAACAGAGTAAGGTTATTGACTTGATAAAACAAGATGCTAAGATAAAAGCACGAGTAAAATAAGTGGAACGCAGGCGATTTGCATCGTGTTATACACACGATAGCATCCCGGTAGCGGACGAACCGCGATGCGACTAGCTCTAGAACTATATAGCCCTTCGTTCTGCCACAGGCTGAGCACTGCTTCGATGCTGCACTGCTGCTGCACTGCTGCTGCACTGCTTCGCTCGCTATGCCGCTTCGCCTGTGGCAGAACGAAGGGCTATAGTTCTAGAGCTACAATGCGTGATGCAGTATCACCGCCTATGGTATCACTCACTGCTTGTCATCCGCGAATGTGAGTGCGAACAGAGTAGCACGGTAGCAGTGGAGCAGGGGATTAAAGAAGCACAGCAGCAGCATATGTCTCTACTATTCTTCCACTACGCTACCACAATGATTCTACATATGCTGCTTTTATAAGCAGCATATGTAGAATCATTGTGGTATCGTAACCGAGTAGCACAGTAGGTGAGTATCATGGTAGCATAGTAGAAAAGTATTATTGTAGCGGTGTAGCAGAACAGTAAAGTAATAGAATAGCAGGGTGGGGTATTATTTGGGTACCAGGGTAGCAAAGCACAGTAACGGATTATCCGGGTATTATTATATACTATATAAATAGCGGGGTAGCATAGTTGCATGAGGTAGCATAGGGTAGCAGCATGACAGAGTATCGGGGTAGAAAAGTAACAGTTTAGCATAGTAGCAGTGAAGTAGAGATGCAGGGAATCAGGGGAGCATAGCAGCACGGTATCAGGGTTAAACGGTTATCAGCAACAAAATCATGTACAAACAACTTATTACAACTTCAAGTGCAGCTTCGAATTCACCGCAGTAGCCGGCGAAACTACCCATTACACGCTACATGCCATACCACACAATTAGTTCAAGGAAATCTTTGGACATAGATTCATGTCCCCGAGGACATTCTTTCATAACAAGTCTGAATAATATTCCACCCACCCGAACACGAACGCACTATAAACTAACATTAAACATGCCTTAAGCAAACACACCCAACTTTAATAAAACGGAGGTAAAACTAATTATTAGTCTTATCAATTCGTGAGCGGCGGATACCAAAGGCACGTGTTAGATTATCGCATTAAAACGCACACATTACCAATGCGAGGAACAACCCAAAGCACAAGCTCATGCCCCAGGCACAGTGCGTATACGTGCACACACCAGTTGAAGAAAACACCGCAATTAAATGGTCCATGTTTCACAACCCCTCCTTCGGGGCATGTATAACTTAAAAATTTCAGGTACTACTTTTTTTTAGTACTCTCTTTACTACGCTTTAGTACTACTAGTATTTAGTTAGGGAAAATACATCGACGCGTCAATCACGTTACACTGTTACACAGTACATGCTGAACACGCAACAGTGACCACATTTTTATAAAACAGTGTTTATAAAATCGGACGTGGACCAATTGTGATGATAAATATCGTCAATTATATCTACGTTCGACTTTTACAGTGACATGGATATACCGACTCAGATGGACCTTGCAGATTTACACAAGAATGCTAGTTTACAGAATTACATACGCTGCGCATTGTGAGAAATCTAGAAATCACGAGTATCTGGTTCACGCATCAATTGCAACCCCGACGGGGAACCCGGTCCAATAACAGAACGATCTTGACACATAGTTCTTTATATAAGCACGCGGAGGCTGACAAGTGTTAACACGGCCAGAGATCTATATCATCGAGCTGACCGCGCCCTCCCGTGTCCTCGTTCGCGGGAAACGATACCCAAGGGTATCCTTTCTCTGCTTATTTTTCATTCAAAACTAACCGGCGCTTAGCGAGACAACGCGCAGCCCGAAGAAAAACACTTTGCAGCGCAGGAAAAACACTAGCAGCAGACAGACGCTCACACACACACGTCTGCGCGCTGGGTGTCGCCTGCGCGGTGACGGCTCTGTGAGGCGGCGTCATGAGGATTAATCGTCATCGTCGTCGTGTCCGTGCGACGACCACCTGCCCCGTCTCCTGTTTATTTTGACTCGTCATGCGACGCCTCGGACGAATCCTGTTCAACACGGCCACTTGACAGTCGGAGGTGTTAAAATGTCCCGGGTTGTATCCCCTTTTGGTTTGGTAAGCATATGCAGGCGCCCTTTGCTCCCACTTGATCCTTTCCCACAGCGAGTGCGCGCCTTCGCTGGCAGCTAAAGGCGCGGGCCTGGTGTCTCTGTTTGGGTAACTTCACCGCGGCATGTTTATTTGAGAATCCATTAATACCGCAAATACTATGAGAGCAGCTTACAAGTGAGATGGGGAACAGAAACAGAGCGCGGGCAGAGCCGCGGGCAAAAGCGCCCGGACAAGTTTCGAAAAGTTTCGGGAAACAAACCATGGAGAGTGGGGACTGGGGAGTATCAACACCCACTGTTTCCTACCAGTGTCCCACTTGTTTCCCACTGTTGCCTCCGTATACGGTGGAAGCGTCTGTCTGCACGGGGTGTCTATGATGACCCAAATACTTTCAGAGATGCGCGTAAACCGCAGCGCTGAATTTACGAAAAAGAACCGTAAATAGCCACAATTTACGACACCACGAGCCATGAATCGGCACATTATCTTGACACTAACTAAGGTGATTTGAGTAATTATAGCTAATTTAGGAAGGAATTACTAGTATTTTGCTTTATACGGCAATAAGCCATCAATTATCGCTGTAAAGGCAATCCAAATGTACAATTGTAGCTTTCATGTATTTCACGGCAGGTAGACCATATTTTCAGGCATTTTATTTTGAACCATTAATAGCAAGGCCATACACGAGACTGGCTCCAAAGCTCCCTCCACGTAACCAACTCCACGGGCGCTTCATTCGCAACAAATTATGAAGTCAGTCTAGCCTTGCATCACATAATGCTATCCAACAGAAATCTGGGAAGTAGTTGTGGAAAGATAGAATCCATTTACAAACCAAAACATAGAGAAGATTTTAATATCAACCATGTATGTGTTGTATAAAGATATCAGTGGCGTTTACAGTCTGGCCAGCATTACACATATGCTGTGATTATTAGGTTTGTGTGCACGCGACGTAACTAAATGACAAACACGAAATAGCCGTACATACTTGTTCAGACAAGTACGTAGATATTTTCATAAATACTGATACCAAACGAAATCTCGAACACGAAAAATATGTAATGCATCTCGAACCTGTACACTATACAATAACAATGCCCACGCTCACAAAACGATCACACGAGATCGTGTGTCACGCAAAATCGTGTGTCGCGTGTTTAGTGTGTGTCACGCAAAGCCTCGCCAGTACCATCGCACACAAAACACCGACAACACACGTGTTAGAAGGAATCCCGCACTCATTTCACCT